TTATGAAGAGCAAATGAGATGCTTTGTGTAAAGCAATCAGCACAGTGCTATCATGAAGCCTGCTCCACTCCGTCTAGCAATAGAGGTGTGTGTCCATGTCTGTCCCTCCCTCTGGATAACCAACTCCTTTAGAGCAGGAAGTGAATCTGGTTGCTCCAGCAGTGCCAGACACTGACTGCATGCCCAGCACATAGCGGATACTCCATAAATGTTTGCTGCATTGACTCAGCAGCCCTGCATGTCTCTTCACCCCCAGGCCTGGGAACACGGCATAGTCATCAGAGCACAAAAGGATACCTCGGTCATCCCTTAGTGTGAGGCTGAGTGGTAACTCTCATGCCCAAGGCACAGGTCATGGACAGCACTCCCGACCAGACACAGTAGGGCCAGTGGAGGCAGAGTCCACCTCGCTCCTGCTCTGCAACCAAGACCTCTAGAATCAGAGAAGACTCGTCGGTGGGGAGAAACAGGATAACATCAAGTGGGCAGAGGTTCTTGACTCACAGATCGAACTCTTTCCTGGAACCCTTACCAGAGAGGAAGGAAAAAGCCTTTGCCTCACTCAAGCTTGGCATCGGGGGTAGAAACTGGATGTCTTACTGTGTCTTCCTCTTAGGTCTGGTCCCTGTTCCTTGGCTGTGCTTTGTGCTGATCTTGTCATTATGCAAACCCAATGTCATGGAGAAAACACTGGGTTCTAGATGCAGAAGTCTCAGGTGGTGATTCTGGCGCCTTTTGGGGGCCGTTTTTCCTCTGAGCCTCAGTTTCGTCATCTGTGAAATGTGGGTAGTAATGCCTGCCTTGCCTTCTTTGCAGGACTCTTTTGAAGATCAAATAAAAGAGGAAAGCTCTTTGCACACCATAAAATACTGTACAAATAGCATAGTTCTTTACGTGCCAGGTCTCTCCCTTGACAGGAAAGACTTTGATCTCTCTCATCCTCTCCCCTCTCTGTCTCCTTTCTCCCTCTCTCTCTGCCTCTTTAAAGCAATCACAAGATTTTTCTGTGTACTGAGACTTTTCAGGGTGCTTCTGTGTGTGCCCCCATCTGTTTCAGGGCTCGGAAGGTGTCAAAGTGCCACAAACGAGGCACGTAACATGGGATCTAGAGGTCCTCTGTCCAAGTCCGGGGTTCTGCTCCTTAACTGTTTGTGGGTCCTTGGGCCAATTCTTACCCTCTGGGAACCTCCATTTCCTCATCATTAAAGCAGGGATGGAGGATATTGCCTACTTCACAGGCCTGTGAGGGAGGAAAAAGGGGAGAGTGGAGCTGGGGCACCTCAATAACACTTATTTAAATATCAATCTGAAAACAGTTTCCAGAAAATTCTAGGAAAGATTATTGCCTTTTTCCCGAAACACTGCAGCCTAGCCACGATCATTTATTCAGTAAACATTTATGGAACACCTGCTGTGTGCTGGGCCCACCATTTACTCCATAAACACTTATGGGGTACCTTCTTTGTGCTAGGCCCACCGCCAATCTCATTTTTCATGGATGTTGTGGTAAAAGAAAGAGGAGTAGATGGTTGCTCTGGAGCGAAGGCTATGGTAGGTGTAGTATTTATTAGTTTAATATCATACTAGGTAGCCAGTTTTTAATTTAATCTTTTACAAGCTACTGGGAATACCCTGTTTCTAAAAAATGACCCAGCAGAAGGATGTGGGTTGTTGAATCAAAATGAGAGAGAAATCTTCTTTACCTTTGGGAGTTTCCCTGGCAACGATCATCTAATAGCAGCATGTCTGGGAAATAAAAGCTCAGAGCCGAAAGGGATTTCTAGAAAGGAAGCTGATGGTGGGGACTGGTGGGATCTGGGATCTTCCTGTATCCATTTGTTATTTCCTCAGAGTGCTCCATGCAGAGTAGACACTCGGCAGTGTTTGTTACTGAACTCAGACCAGAAACTCTGTATTTCAAAGGAGGGGAGGGAGGACACAAGGGAGCCTCTGAGCCGTGTGCTGTGATCAAGCAAGTACTCCATGTGTTCCCAGCTCGTGCCAACCCCACACAAGATGTTTTTCTGTGTTACTTCATTTAATTCTTCCAGTAACTTTATAAGGTATGAATTCCATTATTATCACTGTTTACCTTTAGTGATAATATAAGGCTGAAAGAAATTTAGTAACTTGCCCAAAGTTATGGCCACACACTCCCAGAAAGCAGGTGGCCCGTCTGATTCGAGAACTGATTCTCCCAGGGTCCTGTGCTGTATCTCTTGGGAAAGTCATTTATCCTCCCTGAATTTGCTTCCTTATCCCAAAGAGGAAGAAGTGAAAGGGGATGATTTTAAGGTCCCTTTTGGACATGTGGACTTCTAGTGGCATAAGTGCTTTATCCAGGGGTTGACAAACTGTGACACATGGGCCAAATGCAGCCAGCTAATTGTTTTTGTAAATAAGCTTTATTGGAACACAGCCACACATATTCATTTATGTATTGTCGATAAAAGCAGAGTTGAATAGTTGTAACAGAGACTGTCTGGCCCATAAAACCTAAAATATTTACTATTTTGCCCTTTATAGAAAAAGTTTGCTGACTCCTGGACTATACTATGCTATAGACCTTAATGATGATTAACTATAATGACGAATAGGAAAAAATCTGGAGGACCAAACATCAACTGTAAACCGTTGAGGGGGATAAGAAGATCATTTACACTGTTTACTTTTTTTTTTTTTTTTTTTTTTAGGTGGAGTCTTGCTCTGTGGCCCAGGCTGGAGTGCAGTGGCATGATCTTGGCTCACTGCAACCTCTGCCTCCTGAGTTCATACCAGTCTCCTGCCTCAGCCTCCCGAGTAGCTGGGACTACAGGCACCTGCCACCACACCTGGCTAATTTTGTATTTTTAGTAGAGTTGGGGTTTCACCATGTTAGCCAGGTGGTCTCAATCTCCTGACCTCGTGATCCGCCTGCCTCAGCCTCCCAAAGTGCTGGGATTACAGGCGTGAGCCACCGCGCCCGGCCCTATACTGTTTACATTTTATACTTGGAGTTATTTATTTAATTTACTTTATACTAATTTATAACTTACATATGGCAACATGCACAAATCCCACACATGTAGCCTGGTGATGGATCCACCATCCCAACCAATATATAGAACCTTTTCTAGCACCCCAGAAACCTCTAGCACCATGGATTCGTTTTTCCACTTTTTAACTTTATATAAATGGAATCACGCAGTATAGATTCTTTTGTGTCTGGTAAAAGTAGTTATTTATTTATTTAGAGAATGGGGTCTCACTCTGTCACTCAGGCTGAAGTGCAATGACACAGTCATAGTTCAATGGAACCAACCTCAGACTCCTGAGCTCAAGCGATCCTCCCACCTCAGCCTCCCGAGTAGCTAGGACTATGAGCACACACTACCATGCCTGGCTACTTTTTTTATTTTTGTAGAGACAGGGTCTCACTATTTTGCCCCGGCTGATCTTGAACTCCTGGGCTTAAGCTATCTTCCCACCTTGGCCTCCCAAAGCACTGGGATCACAGGTGTGTGCCACCACACCTGGCAAGTATTTAGTTTTAACAGTATTGTCCAGAGGCAATCACATGTTCATTTACTCAGTAAGCATTTTCTTGAGCATCTACCATGCATCGGCATCTCTCCAGGCACTGAGGAGTAAGACATGAGAAGATGCCTGCCCCTCATGGGGTTTGCTCTCTGTGGTGTATTTTTTCGTGGCTAGTCAAGGCTTCATGTCCACTACTACGTAGAGGTCTGGCCTGAGCTCTTGGCCCATCTGCCCAAAGGCCTGCAAGTAGACACTCTAATAATTTAAGACCTTTTAGGAATTTCAAATTATAAAAAAAAAGTCGGAGGACCTAAATGGTTATCCAAACCAACTGGCCATTCTTCAAAGGTAGAATCAGAGACCCAGAGAAGGTGCTCACCAAAACTCCTGGGGAGATGAATCTCCCAGAAAGGGGTACTGTAGCCAGAAGGAGAACCTCAGGCTCTTTCCAGACCCTGAAGTCTAGAATGTTCTCCAGGTTGCAACACTGCTGTCTAACAAGAAGGCCCCTGACCTCCTGCAGAACAGCTTAGGATGGTATTTATGTTTTACTCTAGAGATGATTTTATTTTGAGGCCTTCTAGATACTCTGTGAACCAATCAGAAAGCCTGGGAGAGTGGAGTGGCAGGGGGTGGAAATGACCAGAATCTCTTCTGTAAACAAAGAAGTGCAACCGTGAAAAGTAGGGGAAAGACTGCATGTACAAATCAGAAAAATATCACTTGCGCTGCTAAGTTCCAAGGGAGATGAGTTCACAGAAACCACACGTGCCAATCTGTGGAATGACCAGCATGGTGCCCAGAACGCCTTCATAGAGTGATGAATCAACTAGATTTCAACTTATTTTATACCAGGGATTGCACCTCCCATAAAAAAAAAGAAAAAAACCTTGGGATATGAACTGCAAATTCATCTAGTTTGAGTAGACAAAACTGATATGGTCTCTTCAAATTCAGTAGCTCTCAAAAACATGCTGGGACTATAAGAGCCTAAAGACATCAGTTGCCTCAGTTCTCAGCGTGTTTTCAAGATGTGTCTCTTCTTTCTAAATACGTGAGAGCCCACCATATTCTAGGAACCTGTAGTTGCTAACTCACCTAATCTTCACACAGGCGCAGTAGAGTGTCATTATCATTTTGCACATAAGGAAACTAAAGATCAGAAAGATAATGTAACATGCCCGAAGTCACACAGCAGGTGAAGCAGATCTTGGGTTCAAGTTCAGTTCTGTTTGACTACTCCAAAGCCTGCCCTCTATTCTCTGCTGGGTATCCTCCACCTCTCCCCTCTTAGAATCCTCCTTTCAGCTTCTCATCTCTCAGAACAATGACAGCTAGAGACCTTCCCCTTTCATCCTAAAGCCCTGCTCAAAAGTTCTGAGCCCCAATCTCAACCCTTCCTTTAATTTGCTGAGGTGGCTACAAGCAACCTGAGACTCTCCCATATCTTATTTTTCCATCTTTAAAATAGGGTTATTATATCAGTCCATCATCACTTTATTCTGTGTGAAGCATAAACAGATGTTATTTCAATCCTACTCCGTCTTCCTCTATTTGGGGGAAGTTTAACTGAAGAGTTTTATAGGATAGCTCACTTAGCATTTGTGACCTGCATTCTGAAAGATTATCTGCTGGTCTACTTTACACATCTCTTTCTAAATTCCCATATGAAGGGATTGGTGAAACTGTTTGAAGATCTACAGTATAGAACAATTACTTGATGAGCACTTATATCGCACAAAGTGGTATATTACAAGGTAGGTCTAGGAAGGAGCATTACAGGAAGTTGCTGGATGTGAATAGCCAGATTACCTGGAAAACATACCTGACACTCATAGGAAATGTGTCGTATCCTCTGTGTGAAATTTCCTGCACTTTCTCGCAGTTACCTGGGGTATGGGGAAGAATGGGTTTGCTGACACCTGAATTCTGAGAGAGAATGAGACTTGGGAATCAGATGGGGCACACAGCAGCTGGAACTGCCAATCAAAGTTTTGTTGTTACAACAGAAATGATTGCTGTTTTTTAAATGGGTTTTTCCAGCTTAACACAGAAACTGATCTTCATTACACTTGATGCTTCTATCCTGATAGCAAGTGAGAGACAGAAAAAGAAATTGTTCTCCAGGAACATTTACTCTGAACACTTCATTATCCTTCTTGAGGCAAGCTGGACAGGTAGAGAATGTTCTTCCAGTGGGCAGAATTATGAGAGGCAAAGATTTGCCACCTATTACAACAAACTAGAGGGGAAAAAAAGGTGAAATGAAAAGCCAACATTTTTATGAAGTTATGACTCCCTCTGGCAACCTGAGGAGTAACGGGTTTCTGGAGGCTGAAGGATGGAGATGTTCCTGAATTTGGGGTTTGCTTGTCTCAGGCAAAGAGGGACTGAGATCAGTGTAAACCTTCCCCAGGCTCCATGCACTTAACCATCCCTTCTTTCTGGCTCTCAGCACAAGTGGCCCAGGCACCTGTAGCAGACCCTGTATTTAAGAGGCATCCTAGCTCCTTAACAGCCTGACTTGATAAATTACACCATCAGCCCTCGCACACCTAAGAGATTAGATCCTGCCCCTAGGCAGATGAGAGCTGCTAGACCCTTCCTCCTCCTGCTGAAATTCCTCTCTATCCCTAACCTAACTTTACTTCCTCCTAGTTATCTTTCAAGGGTGGGAGAGGAAGGAAAATGTGCTTAGAAACTCTTTTGCAATGTTTCTGCTGATTCTGAAACCTTAGTCCTCCAATCCCTCCAACCCCAGCACTGTATCACCAATTCTGAAAACCCTAAGTTTCCAGAGAAACTCAATTTTACTACTGGGAACTGGCTTCCCATCTTCCCAGACCAGAAAGTGTTGAACTTTATTATTAGACCAAGAGGTTGCACAAGTGGTCTCACTCAATATACACCCCCCCAAATAAAAGGTATCAGTGGTATCCCCTTTTTTGCAGATGAGGAAACTGAGGCTCCCAGAAGGGAAGCGTTATGCTTCTCCCCAGAAGCCTTAGGTCTGTGTATGGTGGAAGCAAAGAATTCCCTTCCCCTGTTCTTATACAGGTCAGGTCCTAGCTTGCAGGTTTGGGCGCAGCCCTCCCCTCCTGCCGGTCTTCCGGGGAGAAGCAGGTGAAACTCCAATAGTGCTGCCAGGCCTATGGCTTCCTACCTGGCCCAGGCCAGACTGGAAACAAAACAAAACAAAACAAAACAAAACAAAACAAAAAAAAACCTTCTTTCCCTCAGTAGCTCTGTCGACACCTTCTCTACTAGGAGTGCAAGATTCCTGCCACTGCTGCAGTGACCTCGTCTGCAGAGCTCGTCCCCCGCCCAGGGAACCACAGATGTTCTGGAACTGCGAATAAACCAGAAATGAGTGAGCCGGAGGGGACACTCGGCTGCAAGTGTCCATCCAGCTGCAGGTCAAGCTTTGCTTTCACTGCCTCACCATCCTAGTGCCTCACCATTCTGCCTCACCATCCTCCCCCAAGGCGAAGACGCTTTGACATCGGGCTTAAACAGGAGAGTGAGGAGCCCCAGGGGTCCAGCTCCCCAGTGGCGTTGTCAGGCTGGGCGCCGGTGCAGCCCGGCTGCTGGGGGAGCTTCACTTTGGCTACTCTTTCTGCCCATAAAGTAGTCTCTTTCCAAGAGTCCTCCCGGACTCCTTCACCCTCGTCTACGCTCTCTGGCGGGCAGCTCTGCAAACCCAAACCGCCAGACCGGGCCAGGGAGGTTCTGGGGCCTGGAGAGCAGTAACCAAAGTGGAAATAAATGGAGTCCCTCCAGGGCGCGCTCACCCCACCTAAGGCGGCCTCACCTCCCCGCTGGCCTCAGCGCCCCTTCCTAAGTGGTCAGTTTCTCTTCCGCCCTGCGGGCTCTCCTGGCCCACCACCTGCGTCGGCTGGGACGCATCCAGGGTCTCTACTCTTCGTTTCCTCCTGTGTCCCCTTCTTCCACGAGCACCCCAGCTTCCTCCGGCTCTCACCTGAACGCCGAAGCGTAGTGTCTTCTCTCTGGACTAAAGCGGAACTGAGAACCGGTGGAAAAGCCCCGCGCCTAGGCTGCAAGGCACTGGCTTAACAAGTCCAGAGGTTAGCTGAAGTTTGGCTGGTAAGCAGAACCAGTAAAAGAAGGTCTCCAGCCCCCCAGCGTGAGTAGAATGGACCCTGGCAAAGCCCCGCTCCCGGCTCGGGTCTTCTGTTCTCCAGGTCTGCCCCTCCGGCTCTCCCTCTCTCCGGGTTTCCCCCTCCCCACCATCATTTGCATCCAGCCGAAAGCTGGGCCCTTCCCACTAATTTGCATATCTTATATGGCCTAATGGTGGCGATCATGGCAAGTTAGAAGTTTTCTGACTCCTCTCGGAGGAGACTCCGGGACCCCGGGGAGTAACAGGTGTCTGGAGGCTGAAGGGTGGAGGGGTTCCTGGATTTGGAGTTTGCTTGTGAAAATCCCCTCCACCCTCCTCTCTCGCACCCACCCACGCCCTCACCCCCTTCTTTTTCTGTCCTTGGAAAATGGTGTCCAAGCTCACGTCGCTCCAGCAAGAACTCCTGAGCGCCCTGCTGAGCTCCGGGGTCACCAAGGAGGTGCTGGTTCAGGCCTTGGAGGAGTTGCTGCCATCGCCGAACTTCGGGGTGAAGCTGGAGACGCTGCCCTTGTCCCCTGGCAGCGGAGCCGAGCCCGACACCAAGCCGGTCTTCCATACTCTCACCAACGGCCACGCCAAGGGCCGCTTGTCCGGCGACGAGGGCTCCGAGGACGGCGACGACTATGACACACCTCCCATCCTCAAGGAGCTGCAGGCGCTCAACACCGAGGAGGCGGCGGAGCAGCGGGCGGAGGTGGACCGGATGCTCAGGTAGGCGCAGAGCGAGTAGGAGAGGACCCACCCGAACCCCTGGAGCCCCTGCCCCGGGCCTGAGTGACACTGCGCCCGACCACACTAGCCAAGCCCGTTTCCCACCAGAGAAGTCCCCCGGGGGGCGCTCTGCTTCTCTCCCAACACCTGGACCCTTCCCAATCACTTAGCCGAAAGACACTGCGGCCCACCGGGCTTCTTCTCCCCAGGCCCAGGCCAGCGTCGTGGACCCAGGGGCTTTTCCCCACGGGGCTGGAGCTCGGCCGGGGAGAACTGGAGCTGCGGAGCCCTTTGCCGGGAGGTTTGCCCACGCGACTGAAGGTGCGAGTGGGTGCAGTGAAACCGCTGCGACTTCCCGGGAGCAGAGGCTCGCGCCGCTACAAGCCCCAGGCCGCGCATTTTTCCTGCGCGCTGCCTGGGTCTGGAAAGCCGCATGTCGGCCTCGGACACATTGACCTGCATGATGACCTGCAGTTCTTTGCCGAAGGACAGGCGGCGTCCGGGGCTGGGATCTGGGAGGCGAGTTCCCTGGTGGGCACTCTTGTTAGCCGCCCCCATGCAAGGCCCAGAATTATCCGAGATCCCCAACGCCGGTTTAGATTTGCAAAGGGCATGTTGCATGTAGGGTCGGGGTGGACCCGCGCGGGGCCCAAGAAACCAAGCGGGGTGGTGTGGGGGCGAACATGTCTCAGACCTCAGTTCGCAGAGGATTTGGTCTCAGTCTGAGAAAGGAGTCTGGTCTCAGTCTGAAAAAGGAGGGCGTTTCCAGACCTCGCTGCCCACCCCCGGCCTCTCCCCAGTAGGTCAGGCCGGCTGGCAGTGTATCCCCAGGGCCGGGATCGTTTGTGGGTCCTCCCCGACCGCCCTAGGCTTTGACAGCTGGTTACTAATTATCTAAAGAGCGGAGCGGTTCCCTGGGACCGCACGTCGCTCCCGGGCCACTCCGCTTTAGGACGGAGCCCATCGCGTGGCTTCGGACACTGAAGCGCCGCGATTTCGGGGCTGAGCCTCGGCCTTACGTCCGCAGCGGCGGTTTGGGGTGGGATATGACCTTGCATTTGAATTTGCGCTCAGAGGGCCTGGCGGTTTGCCCTCTAGCCAAAACAATCAGGGATCTTGTAGATATTTTTCCCCCAAACACACTTTGGTATAATTCATAGGTTTGCGGTTCTTCCCTCGCCGCTCTCCCGCCCGGAGGTGATTTCTCCCTTATCGGGAGAGAACTCCTGCAAGAGAGTGCCGCGACGCGGCAGGTGTGAGTCATAGAGGCTAAGAGGGGTCGAGAGGGTGGCCCCTAGGGGCGGCTGGGGCGCCAGGGCTGCCGGGAGGTCGCTCAGAACCAGGCGGATGAACCAGGCTCCCACTGCCGGCCACTGGGGGCCACAGGGCCTAGGCCCTCCGGCCCGGGCGCAGGCGGCCGCTTTCTAGCGCGGCGCTGGAAAGACCCGGGGCGCCCCTCCGCACCCAGCCCCGCGCCGGGCTGGACGCAGCTGAGACGTAACATAAACTGCAGCACGTGGAGTTGGGGTGTTATTAATTTATTTCTATAAATCATCAACAGAAAGATACACAAAGAGCCGTGATTAGGTTGAAAAGAGAGGCGGGTTATTCATTGGTGAAGTTGTAAACGCGGCTTAGAAGGGAAAGGAAATCAAAACGCGGGCACGGGGCTGCTCGCCGCTCCCAGCCAGGCGCACCCAGCCAGGCGCCCCGTGCGGCCCCGTGGCCCCGCCGCCCCGGCGCCGGACGCGGGCTCTCTGAGCGCCGGAGCCGCCCGCGGAGCCCCCGGGTCGCCGACACCCGCAGGCCCGGCCAGTGGAAAGCCAGGCCCGGCCCAGGGTCCTCAGACCCCAGCACCCCTCTTCCCTCCCCAAAACCCCAGGTCCCAGTAGGGCAGGGAGGGAGACTGGGGAGCCGGAGACCCTCGCCGAGTTGGAGACGCGGGACAGACTTGGAGGCTTTTTTCTCCCGTCCCGAGCGGGTGCTGCCTTTCCTCCCCCGCTCCCGGGAGCGTAGGACTTGATTAAAGTAATTTTTCAAGAAATCGCTAGCGGTCCTTAGGTCATTGCACAGGGGGCTCCCGAGCCCCCGGGCAAACGCACTCCCTTCTTTTGCCCACTGTGTTCCCTTAAGACGAAAAGCAAAGAGAAAGAGAAGTTGTATTTTGGAGTTCCTGGAATTCTAGTAAACCTGGAAGAGAAAGGCCGGGAAGGAAGGTCCGGACTGCGCGCTTCCCGGGCCCCGGCTCCCGGCCGGACCTGGCCTTACTCGCGGCCTCGAGGCGGGCGCGCCGGGGGCATCTAGAAAGTGGGTTGCTTTTTAAGAAGCCAAAGTTGGGCTCCTTAACGAACGCGCCGCGAATTGCGCTGGGATCCAGGCTTCTCTGTTCGTGGGCAGCAAAGTCATTGTTTGAGAAGGAGCGTGCGGGACGGACCCTGCGGGCGCCACGGCCGGCGTTTGACACCTGCGCTTGGGACACAATGGCCGCTGGCGCTCTTCGGGACCCGTGCCTTTCTCCGTGTTAGGAACCCCTGAACCTGAGCTGTGTTTTCAAATAAAAAAAATAAATAACCAACTCTCCCGGCTCTTGCCGGTGAACACACGTGAATTTTGGGGTCAGAGAGCTGTAAAGGTGTAACTGCGCCATCTTACTCCTCACTCTCTTTTTAAGTCGGACTTAAAAGGTTTTGCCATCATTTATAAGGTTTTGGGGGGCTTTTTTTTTTTTACCCTCCCCAATTGGTGAACTAATTCACTATTTCCACAGAACCATTCCCACTTACAACAATACCCTATTTTTCTAGGTTTCTTAGGCATACCAAATGAACCCAGGTAAAGGCAATTAAACAAAAGAAAAATAGCCGAAGAATTTGCAAAAGCAATATTAACTTTTAAAATGCAGTTTTCCCCCTAAGGTTCGAAGTTTCTTGTTCGTAACCATTGAAAGTGTTTTTCCACCCTAAAAAATCTGTGGAAATATTCACCGGAAATAAGCTTTTAAATGATCTGTGATGTTTACAAGGATATGTCTAAAATGTTTATTACATTATTTTCCTCTTAATGTGAATTCTCCACGTTTGAAACTGTAACTCATTTTCTCATTTTTTGTTCTTGTTGTTACTTCCTTATATTGTGTACTTGGAAAGTACCTTTGTAAATACTTGAGAAACTCGTTTTTATATATAATTAATATAAAAGTTTGCATTTCTCAAAAACATCTCTATCAAAGCCTGTGTTCTCACGAGTTTAATACCAAAGTCTTGATAAAACAATCACAACTACCCAAATGCTTGCAAAATATGTTCAATTACTGGATTTTTATTCATTAAACAAAATTAATTTTATTTGACATATTAAAGGTACCATTTAGAAATAAAATTGCTTATTATATTGCAATGCTGTATCTATTTCAGCCTCTACTTTACACCGGTTTTTTTTTGTTTGTTTGTTTCACCTGAAACTAGTTTGTTTGTTTCACCTGAAACTAGTTTTCCCTTTCGTTTTTTTTTTTTTTTCCATGTTCTATTGAGCTAATACATACATCAACATACAGTAATGGGGTGCTGGTTTTTGTAAGTTAAATATGTACCTGCATTAAATAAATAGTAAATGTGTATATATTGCTTCTTTAGTACTTTTGTTCTGTGCTGCACAGTATTTTCTTAATTTCTAGTTTTAAATTATATCTCTCTTTTCAAAGCATCTGTTCAATAAGCAAGAAAAGATATTGGCAAAGTTGAAACCATTCTAGACAAATAAAATTCAAAGGTGCTAAAATTAGCAATTTACACACCCGTGTTTATGAGAAATGAAAAGTATAATCATGTTCTTACCCAGTGCTTAAAATTTATGAGAAACACGATAATACAGGAAAACAAGGCATCTAAAATTGTTAATGTCCGAAATTGAAATTATTTGTCCCCATTAGCCCAGTAGATTTTGTCTGGAAGGTGGGGCTGTGGATTTTTTTTTTTTTTTTTTTTTTTTAACTACTTGCCTTACCTCAGTGGTGTGATCCTCCAGTCCCAAGGAGGTACAACATTGTATTCTGGAAAACTTTTCTAAAACTCTGAAAAGTATTTACTATTTGGCTAAGACACCCTCCTTGCTTCTCAGAAGGTGAACATGTACATTTCACCCCTGTTTTATAAGAAATGGAGATCCCCATTCAAAAGGAAAA